ATCAGTAAGTGCCTCAAGTCATCCTCACTTTCAGCAAGCAAAGTTGTATCGTTTGCGTGTCTCAGGTTGTTAATGATTCTTCCTCCAATCCTGATGCCACGTTGGACATTGCCAAACAATAGTCTGACCTATAAAGTGTTCAAAAATCCTCTATGAGGAATGTACTCCTCAGAACCATACAAAACCAAAGGGGAGTATTTGCCCAAAAACAAAGGTCAAAAGGCAAGAATGGGCAGAAAAGAAGGATGAATGGAAATGGAAACAGGGAACCCAGGGACCAAGGGGGAAGAGTGCTGTTACATTGAGGGGAGTGCAATTAGTGTCATGAAATAAAATGTAGGTAGATTGTTGAATAGGGACTATGTGCTCTGTAAACTTTCACTCAAACTATGGTAAAACATTGGGGAAAAAAATGTGCTTCCTCTTTTTTAGGTAAAGTGAATGTTCTACAAAAGTCCTTGGATGAGGCTTATAAATTGAATTTGTCAAATCCTCTCTACCTCATCTTTTTTTTTTTTTTTTCCTGCTAGCTTTATCACTTTCAGAGAAGGGTGTTAAAATCTTCCACTGTGGTGGTGGAACTTATTCTTGTAATTCTGTCAAGTTGGTTTTATTTTAGGCTATGTTGTTAGGTATAGGTTCAGGGGTATTACAATGTGTATTTCCTCATTGACTGTCTTTGATCCTAATAATTTTTTTTTTTTTTTGCTTTAAAGTCCACTTTGTTGATATTAACATTGTTAAAGCAGGGTGTTTTTTTTTTTTTTTTTCCCCCCCAGTTAATATTTACCAGGCATATCTTTTTCTTCATTCTATTCTGCTTCACTGTGGTGGTCTCTTGGAAATAGCATTTTTAAAAATCCTTTCATACCACCTAAAACCTCTGTCTTTTAATGAGTGAGTTTACTGTTTATAAAAATAAACAATGACTATCAATGTATTTAGGAGCTCTGGTAGCATAGTGCCTAAGGCACTTGACTGCTAACCAGAAGGCTGGCGGTTCAAACCTACCAGCCACTCCTCAGAAGGAAGATGGGGCAATCTACTTCCGTAGTGATACTGCCTTGCAAACCCAAGGAGGGGTCGCTATGAGTCGGGGCCAACTGGACAGCACATAACAACAACAAAAGGTACATATAATCTATCTAAAAGTAAATTAATTGCATTTAAATACAATTTTAAAATTCAATTATTCTGTTCCATTAGTCACATTTCTATTTCCTGGTAGCTCCATTTGGTTAGTGTCTACTGTTGTGCAGATTATATAGAACATTTATATCATGGCAGAAACTTCTATTGGACAGGAGATGATAAGCCTATAGTAGCATTGCAGCTTCTTCCCCTTTAGAGCAGAGATATTTGGGAGACTACATCATGTGTGGAATTTAAAACTGACAGGCTACCTCAGTGGTCTTCATCTTCCCAGCCGAATTGGAACATGTGGTTTGGATGAGCCAGAATAAACATTCTCCCAGCTCTTCTGCACCTGTGGGGGAAAAGTGGCTAGCAAGGGAAGCAGTGCCCCAGAATGGAGGCTACTGGGGTCTCTTAACCCCTGCGTGCAAACTTCAGGTTTGGTGTCCATAGGATATTGAAGGGGATTTATATGGGACAACCCCAATGGTGGAAGTGATAAGGGGCTAAGGGGCTAACTTCTGTACAGCAGTAGGAATCCTAACTCTCTGATTGGTGAAGGGAAGCCAAACCATATTGGAGAAGTTCCAGTTGGAGCCAGATTGCAAAGGTTTGGGCATTGCACAGGTTAGCCCATAGCATTTGGCATTCCTTTGAAGCTCTCACCTCTTCCACCTTGTTGCTAGAGTGGTTTAGGCTTCATCTGAACCAGCTGGCTAGGTGAAGATTATGGAGGTCTGCCCTGGGTCAGTCCACTGACTGGAACAAGTGGTTGCTAGTAGCAGGTTGGGGATGATAGTATTGGCAGGGAACACCCTTTCTAGTTACCATTTGTCCCTGTATACCTTGGATAGATAGGTGAGTTTCTCTCTCTTTCTTCCTCTAGGCCAGACAACACACGTTTGGATAGTCACATGCCCATTCATTGCAATAACAGCTTTGCCTCTTTGAGGGAGGAGAAGCTGAGTCAAGTTCTTTGCTTCTTTCTTACTCCAGCATCACATTGGCATTGGTTATAGATCCAAAAGGGAGCTCTGGTGACGTAGTGCCTAAGGCATTTGACTGCTAACCCAGCCACTCTTTGGAAGGAAGGTTGGACATTCTACTTCTGTAGTGATACCGCCTTGGAAACCCAAGGAGGGGTCGCTATGAGTCGCATCCAACTCAAAGGCAGTGAGTTTGGTTTTTATAGATCCCCCCAAAAAATTCACTCATTATCAGTGGTATCAGCTAAGTTCATACTGTAGACATTCACCTCTGATTGGGCTAATTCTTTCATGTTTCAGATGCTCAAATTCGTTTTTAACCTGTGCAGAACTGACAGTTATGAATTTACCATTAATTTCTATCACACTTCATTGACACTTCCAAGTATTTTGTTACTTGCAAAGTCAAAGCCTTTGGATTTCCCACTGGGATCTGTCATCACTTTGACATTTCAGTATTGTAATTAAATAAACATATTATCTTTCAGCTTGCCATCATCTTTATCTTCCCCAAATTTTCCACTTTGTGCGGGGGAGCTGTAGTGAATATGGGAATGCAACAAGGCACAAGAAAGTAACATTCCTTCTCTCCTGAAGTCACCCAGCAGGAAAGACTGGACAAATAATTAGGCTATTGTTAAGTTACTTACAGGTCCCTATGTGTTGCAAGGGGAGCTCTGGTAGCATAGTGCCTAAGGCACTTGACTGCTAACCAGAAGGCTGGCCATTCAAACCCACCAGCCACTCCTTGGAAGGAAGATGGGGCAATCTACTTCCACTGCCTCGAAAACCCAAGGAGGGGTCGCTATGAGTCGGTCAGACTCCATGGCACATAACAACAACAGGTGTTGGAAAAGGTTTGCTGTGACTACAATTCAAATATATCCAGTGGTAAGGGGTAAGAAAGGCCTGGTGATCTGGTTCTGTAAAGATTACAGCTAAGAAAATTCTGTGGTGCAATTTTACTCTGTAACATAGGGTGTCACCACCAGTCGGAATCTACTCCACGGCAATGCCGTTTGTATTTGATTTTATTGCTCTTTAAATTCGAGTATGAAAATACAATATTTACATAGTTCGTGTTACTGGAAAACAGTTGTACCAGAACTGGGATGATGGCGGTGAATTTATTTTAATTGTGGCAAATCCCCAATTTGCTATATAGTGCATTGATGGCATTGAAGGTGGTAGCCCTGGTCCAATTTACAAGAATAGGAGTGGGACGTGGGTACTCCCATAAAGTCTCTCTAGGAACTTGGGCCACCCCCAGCCTTGGCGCTAATTCAGGTTCACACAGCCCTATTCCGGGAGCTCTGGTAGCATAGTGGCTAAGGCACTTGACTGCGAACCAGAAGGCTGGCGGTTCAAACCCACCAGCCACTCCTCGGAAGGAAGGTTGGGCAATCCTACTTCCGTAGTGATAATGCCTCGGAAAACCAAGGAGGGGTCGCTATGAGTCAGGGCTGAATCCACGGCACATAACAACAACAGCCCTATTCCAGCGTTTGTGTGGTCCTGGCGCGCACCCAGCCACAGGCGCACCCAGCGTCGCTACGCCCCGGGCGCGTTGCTCGGCCGCTTTGGAACTACCGTTCCCAGAAGGCCGTGCGAGCCCGGGAGGGAAGAGGTGGCGGCGGCGGCAGGAAGAGTACGAGCGACGGCGGTGGTGGGTTTCTCCCCTCCTGGTGGTCAGTCCGCCAGTCGCCCGGTTCCTACACGGAGTACGCAGCTGCTAGCCGCCCCCTTGTCCCGGGCAGTGGTCGGAGAGGGCCCTTGCCTCCGCCTGCGGGACGGGCCCGCGGCGGGATGTAGGGCACTAAGCGTGGAGGCCGCCAGCGCGGCAGGCGGAGGGCGGAGGGCTTGCCGAGGATGGAGAGAGCGATGGAGCAGCTCAACCGCCTGACGCGCTCGCTGCGCCGCGCTCGCACCGTGGAGCTGCCCGATGGTGAGCGGGACCGCGGTATTGGGGGCTGCGGTCGGGAAGATAGCTGGGGCGGGCGGTGCCGAAGTCCGCTGGGAAAACAAAATGAAAGCTGAGAAAACGCCCACTTGTACTTTTCTGAGGTGGGAGGGGTCGAGAACCGGCTAAGGTTCTCTTGCTGCTTCCTTCTGGGTGTGTGGGAATTTGCGAGAGTCAGTCAGTTCGCGTTCTGCTCTCGGGAGGAGATCAGCGGTCCCCCCGGACTACCGATTCGAGGCTTTTTGGCGACTGGTCTGAAATATCAGCCGGATGACAGAGCTCTGGATTCAGAAAACATTACCGTTGCGGGCCTTTTTGTAGTCACTGCTAGCTGGGGATAGCGAAATGCTCCAAAGGTGATAATTACTTTTAAGCTGCAGGGGAGTGAGGAGGGGGAGAGAGTTGAACAGGCTGTTTTGAAAATATTTGGCAATCAACTTCCGTGGTGATAATGCCTCGGAAGCCCAAGGAGGGGTCTCTATGAGTCGTGTCCTACTCCACGGCACATAACAACAAGAAGACTGTATTTTGACAAGGAACACATAATAGGGTGTTAAACCTACTTTTGAAGTACCGTGTATGTATACATACATACATTCATACGTTTTTCTTTAATGTGCATGCTTGCTATCATTTATTTATCTGACTTGTGTTGAGTGGGATAGGCTGTGGATGGGGTGCCTCTATAAAGCGGGATAAAGCACAGTCTTACCCCCCCACCCCTCCAGGAAATTTAGTTCAGCAGCCTGGTGTTTAGGACAGATAAGACACTAGTAATAAAAAAGTTGAGAAATAAAGCCGTTTTGTTTCCAACCTAATAAATTCGGACATTTTAGTGGTAATGGGAGATGGCAATGCTACTGTAAAGAGACTTTTGGCTCTTTATACCCAAGCTAGAATGGGATTGTTGTTGTTAAGTGCTGTCGACTCGTCTCCGACTCATATCAACCCCTCCTTGGGTTTCCGAGGCAGTATCTTTACGGAAGTAGATTGCCATGTCTTCCTTCCAAGAAGTAGCTGGTGGGTTTGAACCGCCAGTCTTCTGGTTAGCAGTCAAGTGCCTTAGGCACTACGCCACCAGAGCTCCAGAATGGGATTAGGAGGAAGTTATGTCGGGTGAATTTTTTTCCCTTCATTGTAATAGTTTATCTTACTTCATTTTTCCAAAACTTTGTTTATTTGCTTTTGAGGTGATTTGTTGATTATGGAAGGATGCCTTGGGCGAGAGTCTTTAAAGAAACGTAGGATTTGGGGACTTTGAAGATGATTATCTTGAAAAAATTTTCTTGCTCTTTATTTACGATTCAGAAAAGTGATGAATTCTGTTGACTGTTTTTCAAAGAGAGTTTTGTTCTTGTTACTTTGTCGCTATGAAGCCAGTTGACTTATTTCTGATTTTAGTAACTTGCCTTACTGCAAAATAACTTTTTTGGGCGACTTCTCGGGCCCCTCTCAGGGACCCGTGAACCTCGCCCGGGCCCCTCTCAGGGACCCGTAAACCTCACCCGGAAACTCAGAATAAAAACTTCTCTTTAACCTCAAAAAAAAAAAAAAAAAACCTTTTTTGGTACACTGGTTAAAGCGCTCCACTGCAAACCAAAAGATGGATGGTTCAAACCCTCCAGCCACTCCACGGGAGAAAGATGTAGCAGTCTGCTTCCATACAGCTGTACAACCTTGAAACCCTATGGGTCAGTTTTACTCTGTCCAAGACTGGGCAGTCTACTTCCTTAGAGATAACTGCCTCAGAAACTCAAGGAGGAGTCACTATGAGTCGTAATCGACTCCACCACAGTGAGTTTCGGCTTTTTTTTGTTTTTACGGTTGCTAAGAAGCTCTGGTGGTGCGGTGCCTAAGACCTTAGACTGCTAAATAGAAGATTGGCTGTTCAAACCCATCAGCCACTCCTCAGAAGGAAGACCAGGCAATCCACTTCCGTAAAGATTTACCGCCTTGGGAACCCAATGGGGGTCGCTATGAGTTGGAATCCACTCAGTGGCAGTGGGTTTGCTTTTTTTGGTTTGCTGCTTGGGAGCTCAGGAGCTCTGGTAGCATCCTGCCTAAGGCACTTGACTGCTAACCAGAAGGCTGGAGGCCACTCCTCGGAAGGAAGGTTGGGCAATCTACTTCCGTAGCGATACTGCCTCAGCAACCCAAGGAGGGGTCACTATGAGTCAGGTCTGACTCCAAAGTACATAACACCACCACCACCACTTGGGAGCTCTGGTGGCATAGTGCCTAAGGCATTTTACTGCTAACCAGAAGGCTGGCGATTCAAACATACCAGCCACTCCTCAGAAGGTTAGGCAATCTACTTCCGTAGAGATACCACCTTGGAAAGCCAAGGAGAGGTCCCTATGAGTCGAATCCACTCGAGGACAGTGAGTTTGTTTGTTTTATATGATTGTTATGAGTCAGAATTGATTCCATCACGAGTTTATTTTCTTCCAGCTTCCACCCTTGAATTCATTTACTAAGTGCTACTGTCACTCAGTTGCCTTCCAGTCAAGTTATTGATACAGGTTGATGTAAAGGACTGTGTGTATAGTTGACATTGCAGTTTGTACAGACTAGTTTAAAATCTGATATTTTTACTTAAAGGTGAAATAGAAGACTTTGATAATGTAATATTTTCTGGTTTTAAAAGTAATATATTTTCATTGTAGAAAATTTGCCAAAGAATGAACAATAAAATATTTGCAATTTCACCATCAATAATAAGCAATGCTAACATTTTCCTATGAAACCTTAGTGACACAATGGTTAAAATGCTGGACTGTTAACTGAAAGGCCAGCAGTTCAAAACTACCCACTGGCTCTGTAGGAGAAGGAGCTGGTAGTCTGCTCCCATAAAGATTGCAGCCTATGGGGCAGTTCTACCCTGTCATGTTGGGTCCCTATGAGTTGTAATCACCTGGATGGGATTGAACAACAACATTTTCTTTATTTACTTCCATTGGTATTTCTTCTCTCTCTTTTCCAAATTAAGATAATACTGTATAATAGCCTTTTATTTTGTTTTTAAAAACACTGTATCATAAACATTTTAATGTACTTAAATATGCTTGATGATTTTGTAGGATTTTATAGAATGCATGTGACACATGCTGAATCTAATTTTTGTTTTTATAACTGATTTTATGAGAATCATCTTTATACTTAAGGTTTTTTTTTTTTTTAATTTTTTATTTTGTTGTGTTTTGGGTTAATCTTAAGGTTTAGTGGGCCTCTTTAAGTATTTCCTTAGGGTTAATCCCTAAAAGAAGAATTGTTGTTATGTGCTGTGGAGTCAGCCCCGACTCTAGCAACCCCTACTTGGGTTTCTGAGGCAGTATCTCTATGGAAGTAGATTGTGCAACCTTCCTTCTGAGGAGTGGCTGGTGGGTTTGAACCGCCAGCCTTCTGGTTAGCAGTCAGGTGTCTTAAGCACTATGCTACCAGAGCTCCTGAAGAAGAATTAATAGCATCAAATTTTATGAAATGAAGCTCTGGATATCATTCATCCAATTTACTCTTTGGAAAGTTCTACCAGCAGTCCGAGAGTGTCTGGAAACTAGGGTATTACAATTAATAATAACTTTTTTGTTGTTGTTAAGAAAAATGACATCTTGTTTATATTTGTTTTTCTTTGATTATAGTGATTTTGCTCATTTTGTTCTTTAAATTTAATAATCTCTCTCCGTAAGTTCTGACTAATCTTCTTGAGTTCTCTGAGCTTGACCCTTTTAAGTAATTTAAGTAACCTAAATATCTATGGTTTTTTCTCTCACCTGCTCTGTTGGAAAAAGATGTGGCAATCTGCTCTGTAAGATATACAGCCTTGGAAACCCTGTGGGACAGTTCTGCTCTGCCCTATAAGGTTGCTGTGAGTCAGAATTGGCTCCCCAACAGTGGGTTTAGTTTAATTTTTTTTTTCTAATGGGAGCTCTGGTGGCGTAGTACCTAAGGCATTTGACTGCTAACCAGAGGCTGGCAGTTCAAACACACCAGCCACTCTTCGGAAGGAAGACTGAGCAATTTACTTCTGTAGAGATACCACCTAGGAAACCCAAGGAGGGGTCGCTTTGAGTGGAGTCGACTCGATGGCAGTGAGAGTTTAATTGTGAATTGGGTGAAAGTTTGCAAAGCAAATTTATTTCCCATATAACAGTTCATACACATTGTGTTTTGTGATATTAACTTCAATTCTCCACACTGTAACAGCTCTCTTTCAGCTTCTTTTGCATGTTTACCTCTTCCCTGTGCCCTTCCCTCCCATGTACTCCTGCCCCCCTCGCCTGCCAGCTATCTCCCTGTCCAAACACTGCCCTTCTATCATCCTAAGATTGATTGTTCCAAGGATTGTACATAACTAATGTAAATATTCACCCCATATGCCTGTCTGTTGTTTGGTTGGAAGCTACAGGGTGAGTTCAGTTCTAGATCTGAAGAGTAACTATGGGCGTTAAGTCTCAGGAGTCTTACCAGGCTCTATCAGACCAGCAAACCTGGTCTTTTTTCATGATTTTGAGTTTTGTTGCACATTGTTCTCCCACTTTCTCCAGGATCTCCTGCACCAATGCCGCTCCAAGGGTTTGGGTTAATCTTTATATGGAAGCAGACTGGCACATCTTTCTTCCTCAGAACTGCTGGTGGGTTTGACCAAACAACCTTTCTGTTAGCAGCCAAGAACTTAACCACTATGCTACCAGGGCTCCATTTTATATGTAGTACATTCTCATTGTCTCTGGGTTGTACACATGTTTAATGTACGTAGCTGCTTCCTGAAAGATTGGAAGTTCAGGTCTGTCCAGATCACATTGGAAGAAAAGGTTGAGTACTGAACAGTCAGCCATTTAAAACTATATGTAGCCTATTTCTAATCTAACATACATGGGGTCACTATGAGTCAAGAGTCAATTCAATGGCAATTATAAAATTATAAAAATTCAGATTGTTGTACTTGAATTTTAAGGGCTGAAGAGAAATTTGGAGATTGCTCTAAA